AGCTGGACCAGAGACATCCGCTGGACCAGAGACATCCGCTGGACCAGAGACATCAGCTGGACCAGAGACATCAGCTTTTGAGTGTCTCTGGACATTTTCGTAGAAGACGAACGACTCTAAAGGACAGTGAACTCCAGAGTGAATGAGACTTCACGTCACATGTCTGTCTTTACCTTCATGGCGAGGGCGATGAGCGCTCCCTCAGTTGGTCGTCCCAGCAGAGTGTGATTCTTGATCACGGAGTCGTTGCACACACAGCCGACCTGACGTCACAGACACCAGTGAATCATCTTCTACAACAGCAGGTACAAAATATGCAGACTTGATATTTTCCCTTCAGTCAACTCACCTCCACGATCCTACTGACCGAGGGGCAGGAGGAGCCGTGGAGGATCTCTCCGTCCAGAAACACTTCTCCTTCTCTGTTGTAGCCGACGCCCGTCACCTGTGTTGTGGGTAAAAATTACACGTGTTGGGAGAAAAGACCGAACATAACTTTAGTGAATAAGAAATATCTGGCGTCATCGTCACTGAGATCTGGACGAACAGACAGAACAACTGAAAACCATCCAGCAGAGACACTGAAGCTTCTAAACTCATTTTCTCTCCACATCATCACATGTTCTGCAGCTCACGCTTCCAGATCCAGTATTAAACTTCTTCTCAAGCGGAATCTCTCACTTCAGCTTTCAGCTCCTCTGGTCAAAGTCATTTTCTGTTTCTCAAAACTTGAGTTTCTTTTTGTGAAAACATCATTTTTCTACGTCATCAGTGTTGAGAGGTGGAGATCTGTCAGATCTGTCGCAGGAAATCTACTTTCACGATCAGGAAACATTCGATTCTTTTTGTTATTTTAGAACCAGACCGTCCGATTCTAAACTTCTCACCTCGGCGTGGAGCCCGTCTGACGTGTACAGCTGAGTGACGGTCATCTCGTTCTTGGTCAGAGTTCCCGTCTTGTCTGAGCAGATCACGTTGCAGCAGCCTGATGGAGGACGACAACACGAGCAGCTCGTCAGACCAACAGAGACAAACACGTGGAAACTGAAGTCACATCAGTCGATACGATGGAGAGTGATTATTTCAGCTTTGGGTCGACACTGAGAAACACTGTGCGGGCGACGTGTCCGAGGCCGTGAGACACCGGGATGTTGAGGATAATTAACTCTTCACTACCCAGAGTTTCCACGATGGGGAGCTTCTTGACGATGGCCCTTTTCTTCACCATGCGCATCACACCGAGCGCCAGCGTCACCGTCACCACGATGGGCAGACCCTCTGGGATGGCAGCTACCGCCAGACTGAGGGAGACAAGGGACAAACAGTACGTCCCCGAGATGAGGTTTCACCTTTACAGCATTAACCAACATTGAACATGTTTTAATTTGACTGAAAATATAAAGATTCATCTTTAGAACAGTTTTAAAAATGAATATTTTTGACTTTGTTATTTGTCTTTTTGTGTCATTTCTTCTCTCTTTGAAACTTACATCACAACTCATCTGGTTTTATGTTGCTGCCACAGTCTGATCCAATCATTGGACATTTTATTTTGCTGCGCTGTTTCAAGATACTGAAATTTATTTACAAATCAAGATCTTTGTTATTTTCTGGAGGAAATGATTAGTTATCTGTATATTAATCATAAAATGATTTGTTAAAGTTTATTTATAATCTGAACGTCTCAGTCTCTGAAACAGAAGGAACATTTTCTACTTTATTCCTGTGTGCCAGGACTTCCCTGCTCTCTACACGTGTCCACGGTGGCAGCAGCAGTGAAAGTAAGAGCAGGGACTCTTTACTTTTTTTAGATTTAAAACTAAAACGTATTAGTGTGGATGTCGTCAGAGAGTAAACATCAGTCCGCTGATTGGACGACATCTACCTGACACCGATGGTGAACATGTCGAGGATCCTCTTCCCCTGCAGCCAGCCCACCAGCATGATGACCCCTAAAAACACAGTCACATCAATCAGACAAAACGAGGGCATGTGACACCAAGACGCTGACGACTGACGAGAGGAAACCAACCGATGATGCCAAAGGAATAAAGAGAGAGCTGCTTCCCCAGCAGGTCCATGCTCTTCTGCAGCGGAGTTTTAGGAGCCTGAGCAGAAGCAGACAGACAGAGGGGTCACAACAAGTTTTCATGGACTGACACTGAGGCTGCAGGAGAAGATCCAGGAAATGTCCAGAGACAGCGACTGAGACATTTGTTCTCACATACAGAACAGTTCTGGAGATGATCTGTAGTTCAGTGTGCAGCAGACAGAAGAAGGGAACCATCTTAGAACCGTTACCTCTTCTGCTTGCATCATCTTGAAAACTTCCCCAAACTCAGAGCTCTCTCCGGTTCCTATGACGATGCCCTGAGGAGGAGTTCGACAGCTTTACACAAAGATCACACACATGTACATGAACATGGTTTGAGTTCATATCATATATGTTTCTGCATCTAATATAATAAGTGTGGTTACAGCACATGTATGTTGGTCTGAGTTCAACATTGAGCACAATGTGTTCTAGTTTGTTATGATCAACATTCTGCCTCCTGCTCCTTTCTCCTCTTAAATTCCTCCGACACTTGTTCGTACTAACGTGACGCGTCTGTGTCCAAACAAGTGTTGAGGCTTTGTATCAGTTTGAATCCTCGCCTCTACCAACACACCTGTAACACACGTCAAGGACAGAACCACTCGTAAAATCTGTGTGTACTTAAAATCAAACCAATGTGTTTGTACCAACAGCTCTTGTATTTTCCTAAATGAAGAATTTAAGAGGAAGAAGAAGAAAATCTGACCTGGATCTTTTAGAAAGTCTGACTAAACATTTCTAAGATCATTTCTAAAGTTATCTGAAATTTGTTTTAAACAACAAATGAAAATAGAAAAAGAAGAGACAGTGACATATCTGATTAAAGACTAAAGACACAAACTCACACTTTCTTCTTTTAAAGACACATTTCACAGAGTTGAGGTCGGAATTAACCTTGAACTTTTCAACCTCAAACACAGTTTGTTTTTCTGATTATTCTAATTGAGACTGGTTTTGATTTGACTTTTCTTTCACAAGTTCACTGTGTAGTTAAAGAACAAGTAGACTGAGGCTGTGTTGGTACCTTGGCTTTGCCACATCGCACCAACGTCCCCATGAAGGCGATGTTGCTGCGGGAGGCGATGTCTCCATTGGTGGTTGCCCGCTGGTGGGAGGTAGATTTGGAGCAGGGGGCGGTTTCCCCTGTCAGACTGGACTCATCCACAGACAGGTCGGTCGCCTGCGGAGGACAAACACGGAGGAGTCACTAAACTCTGATAAATAAATAATTAACTGTTCAAACTGATCAGGGGACAAACTGTCCCTTTATTTTTGAAACCAAAACATTTCTCTTTTCTAGGAAATTATCTTTATTATGTAAAATACAGCACAATACTGTGTGTGTGTGTGTGTGTGTGTGTGTGTGTGTGTGTGTGTGTGTGTACCTCAAAGAGGCGGAGGTCTGCTGGGACCCTCTCTCCCACCGAGAGACACACGGTGTCTCCAGGAACCAGCTCTCTGGCCAGCAGGTGCTCCAGGTTCCCGTCCCTGACACTGGGGGGAGAGGGGGGAGGGGGGGGGGTTTCTTTAATAATCAGTTGTTTATTGGATGAAATAGTAAACGAGTTAAGACTCAGTAACTATAGTAACGGATGCTCCGTCCACACAAAACATTAGACGAGTATTTTAGCTCCACAAGTTACGTGACCATTTACAAAAGCATCTTTTTTTGTTGGTCCAGACTCAAACACGAGTTTTCAGTTTTCTCTGATTTCGAAGCTCCTGAGTTTGAATCCCTAAATGTGCCTCAGACTCACCAGTGACATTCTGGAGGAACCAGCTTCCCGAGCTCTTCTAGAGATTTCTCTGAGCGGTACTCCTTCACACGGGAGAAATAAACAAAAACTGATGCAGCACAAGTTCACGAATAGAAACATGGAGAAGAGAATTCTATCCACACAAGTAAACCTTCCTCATCCATGTTAACATCCACGACACTATAACGACAACATTTACTTACCTGGACGAAGGCAACTGTCACGACTATGATGATGGCCTGTGAATATGAAACACAGCTGGATGAATCCTCTGATACTGAACCTGTGTACAAATAAACTACCCACAAATCATACTCATGGATTTTCAGGTTTTATCGTCTTACAACACTTATAGTATAAAAAGTATAAAAACTCATGAATCGTAATATAAGGATTCAACCTGGAACCTTTTATTGTCATGTATCCTGCTTCCTTCTCACATCTGTAACTGTTGAAGTACTCAGAGACGCTCATGTGGTATTTGATGTGACGTTTTGTTCACGTCCTGGAAGCTTTTCCTTTAAATGACCACGTTCTTTCCTGTTCCATTTTATTTGAGCTCCACAGCGAGTTGAGACTCACAAAAGTAAGTGGTTTTTTCTGTTTAACACTTTCACCATCTTTGTATATTATTTATTTTCATCTGTAGTTTTCTCATCCTGAACATTGATCAAAGTAATTATTAACTGCTGCAAAGTTTCCCCAGAGGGATCCGAAAGACAACGATTAGTTAAATCTCATTTTCCAAACTTGCAGATCAACACCAGCAGAGTCTCCATCGTCACGCTCCCATAAAACATCCACACAACAAGTGCAGGTCTGCAAACTGAAATAAAAACCGGTCTGCAGAAGGAGGACGGACTCACCACAGTGATGCTGATAGCGTCGTCAAACTGGTGCATGAGGATGCTGATGACAGCCGACGCCAGCAGCAGCAGGATGAGAGGATCTTTGAACTACAGAGACACAGAGAGAGGTTACGATGCTGTTAGACTCCACAGTGACGTCCCTCCTGGACACTTGTCTTCAGGGTTTAGGTTCATTTCACCCTCAGGATTCTCGTACGTGTGTTTCCTATGACTCATGCACGAGTTCACACGATATATGAACTCTGCATTAATTCCCTCACAGCACACTGAGCTGGTGAAGACGTAACAAGCGTAAACAGTTTGTAAGCGCACGATAAACAAGCTACAGACGTGACAGATGTGAGTGGGGCACGAAGAAAGACGATGTAAATCTGTTGACTTGCTCTTGCAGAAGACATTTAAAACATTAATCGTCTTCTGGTTTCTTTTCTGCCAAACATCCCTGCGGGGGACAGACAGGAAGAGCTACAGAAGACCAGGAGGTATGGAAAGGGAAAAGTGCAGAAAGAGAATTTCCACAGGAAACACAAAAAAAGAAAAAGTCATTTGAACCGTGAACATTTTTAGTTATAGAGATATGAACATAAACAAAATAAACATAACTACTATGTGCAAATAGACTTAAACTGTACAAGACAATAGTGCAAACAAGGGTGGACAAAAAAAACCATGTGCATATGGTGGAACTGTGAGCAGAGGAGGTGAATCATCTGGTGGAGTTGGATTATAATAGATCGATAATGTGTGTGTGCGTCTTCATATCTCTGTGCGTCTCGTCTCTTCATGAGCAAAACGTCTTTGTTCAGGGACAATGATTCGTTGTCTCGTGAACGTCGGTTCATGTTGTGTCTGCATTCAGATCAGCTCTGGTTGTTATGTAAGTGTGTGAGGGACGATCTGTTACTGCTGCACGACACGAACATTCAACTCATTAATATTAAATTGAAAAATGATTGAAATGAGAACATCACGTACAACATAAAGATTGTATGTACTACAGTGTGTGTGTGTGTGTGTGTGTGTGTGTGTGTGTGTGTGTGTGTGTGTGTGTGTGTGTTCTCCTGACAACACAATGACTCTCCGGAACGTGACGAGCCTCCAGACATTTATCAGGCAGCAGATAAAAATAGTTCGTTGGTTTTATGTCGGAGCTGCTGTCGGACGTGTGAGCAGCTTCCTCTGACTCAGCAGCGGTGGCACCGTCAGATAAAGGCGGGAGAACACACACTTCAGTTACATGGTGAGAGAATCTACACAAACACACCGGTTATAAACCGTGGAGGCCACACGGTGTGGATCAGCTCTCCGTTAACGACTCTAATGACCAAACCAGCAGCTCTGGTGCTCTGTGAAGTTAAATGACATAATGTCTGTGGTAACACAAAGAGCTCCGGCTCTGGACCGTCACTGAGATGACTCACGTGCAGGTTGTGTTGAATTCTGTTGCTGGACGACTGTGGACTGATATAAATAAATAGATATATAGATTTATTACCTGTAAGATGTATTTCTTCCATAGCGGCTCCTCTTCACCGATGTCGAACTCGTTCCAGCCATGGTACGCCCTCCTGCGGTTCACCTCCTCCCGGGTCAGACCCGACTGCAGGTCGGCCTGGTTTGATTTGGAAGAAGTTGTTCATATTTTGTTTGTGTCCATACAGATCATTTACTGGTGGAGAACACGACACGGGTCAGTAACAGTTCCACCTCGTCACCGCTCCAAGAAAAGAAATAAGAAATCCCTGCTCCTTCACCGTCACTGCTCCCGACTCGTCAACTGCAGTAAAGAATCTACTTCGTCTCTCAGACAGAGACCAGCAGAGACAACCACCACATGTGCCTGCAGGGGGCGCTGCTGCTCAATAACTAACCCTGACACTTTTTTAAAACAAATATTTATAATTCCAAAATAATTCCTGTGAGAGCGAGTGACAGTGATGAGCTGAGTTAACATCTGTGTTGCTGCTTTGTCTTCAATGTGAATAAATTGTCTTTAACTTGTAGTAGTTAGTGGTAGTAGTACAGAATACTTGGAGTACAGCTGTGTCTTCTGCTCTGAGGATACTGTACCTGCAGGACACACGCTACTTCGTTGACAGGGAGTTCACTGGCTTTTCTGGAGGTCAGTACCGGGACCATGGTCTCATCTTCACTGGAGGGTTGTCTCTCGGAAAGCTGCAAGACACAGAGACATAACTTTATTAGACCAGACAGGACGCACAAAAACAAGTTCTGAGCTCGAGGACATTTATCTTTGTGGGAGCGAGTCAGTCTGGAAATAATCTGAGCTCTGTCAGCTGACCACAGCAGAGACTTGAACCTCAGTCTGATGCTGCTCTGCTGCCTGCGGCTGAACGACACATTCCAACAGCTTGTTTTTAATCTGTCTCTGATTTGAAACTCTGACTTTACACCCTGACGACGGGTGAGTAAATCTTTTAATGAACTTGCTGTTGTTTTGTTCCACCAGAGTCAAAAATCATGTTTCTATCAACCAACAAATGAGTGAGTCCACTGTGCTCGTCACAGACATGTGGACTTTAACATTCAGTCCTTTAGGTTTGTGAGAATCCAGAGCCTTCAGACTTCAGACCGGTGGCTCTGTAGTGAAGTGCTTCCAGAGTCTTGTCCTCAGACACATTCAAACTGCACCTCCACCCTGGATCAACAAGGATAATCCCACAGAACCGGTCGACTGAGGACTCCATCAACACAGCTCTGCAAACTCCACCAGGGGACAAACTGTGCGTGAGGACTTCAGCTCAGCAACAACACCGTCCTCCTCAGCAGAATGGTGACACAGCCTGAGGGACAGCCCGCACACATGCAGATGGACCAAGGACTTTTTAACAAATCGACCCCAAACTGTTAGACTGCGGGCCCATCACTCTGCGCCCCCCCGACACTGAGGCCCACGGGGCTGCGCCCTCTCCTAGACCCCCTCTACACCCACGACTGCACACCAACCCACAGGACCGCTGCAATCATCAGGTTTGACACCACTGGCTGCCTGGTTGGACTGATTCTGAACAGTGAGGAGACGGTCTGCAGGGATGAAGTCTGACACTGTCAGGATGCTGCTGCTCCACCAACCTGGCACTGAACAAAACAAGGAGCCGATCATCAGTTTCAGGAAAAAGGAACCTGCAGCGGCCAGAGTGACTAGCTTCAGTATATCGTTGATGCTCCGTGAGTTTGAGGAGCAGAAGAAGAAGAAGACCGGAGACTTGAGGTCCGGTCAGGAAGGACGGAGTCACAATGACTCCGTCCTTCCAATGAAGACAACTGTTCCTCTGTCAGCTCGTGAGTCGTGTCACTGACAAGAGCTTTAAAATCACCTCAACAGTCTTAATGTGCATTAATGAGCTTGTTTGTGATTGGCTGGTGATCCAGGTAAAAACATTGTGGACTTTCTGACAGTCCGGGCCCGTCCTGACCTCTCTGGAGAGAACCTCCAGAACATTTCAGGTAAATATCAGTCTGTGCCTGGAGTCAGGGAGCTTCAGTTCAGACTGTGGTCGTACTGGACGGCTTCACGTGTGACTTACTGCGACTGTGTGAACCAGACGTTTCACCGCTCTCAGAACTTCCTCTCTTCACGGAGTGCGGTCGACTGGATTTTACAGAGTTGTTCTTTTATTTCAATGTCAGTGCAGAGAGGAGGAGTGATGTGACCACAGACGTCTACAGTACGACTGAATGTCTCCTTCACTTTGTGTGCTCAGCAGTTAGAGACGACCCGTCCAGCAGACACAGCGGTGAATGAATTTCAGGTATTTCTCATCTACTGACAATATTTTCACAGCCTCAGTTTGAAGAAGACAAAAAAATAAAACACCTCGTCCGCTGCGTCTTCTGCCACCAGGTTTCTCAGAAACACAACTTGACTGCAGGTGTTTGTTTTAACTCCTTAAACGTCGAGTAAAAGTGAAGCTGAGTTTTCAAACTAAAGTAAAAACAGCAAACTGCAGCAGAACCCGAGCAGGAAACTGGTTCAGGAGGATGAACATCATTCTTCACTTCAGCCACACGAACAAACTCACAGTTCACAGAGACACGAGATGATTCATATACAGACAGAAGCTACCACACAGCTGCTGACGCCTCCTCACTCCGACAGATTCAAAGAAGCTTTTTAGGAAGTGAGGCCAGTAGTAAAATGTTCTAATCATAAATATAGATAACAAAACCTCCTGCTCAGTGTTAACTAACGAGGACCAAGATGGAGTTCAGGCAAATTCCCATTGATTGGCTGATAAATGATGATGATGAGTTTTCATTCTAGTGGACGTGATAATCACCTCTGACACACGAGAGGTGTCTCACCTGCTCTCCACAGACACGTCCTCAGATCAGCACAGACACGTCCTCACATCCACCACAGACACTGTGACCTGGTCAGTTGGCATTAAGCAGAACTCAGGCTCTTAGCATTAGCTAACATGTCCAGGTTCTCCTCTGCTCACACATCACAAGAGGAAGTCCCACCGACCAGACACAGTGGAAAGTGACGTCTGCCTCCTCTGCTGCCGTAGTGCCTCTGAGCAGACAGACTCGTCCTGAGCTGTGGGAGGTTGAGCAGTGAACAGAGCGGACGGTGAGGCCTCCAGCAGCAGAGGTGAGAGGATTGTTTCTGATTAGTGACCGGGGCTTATCAGAAGATCCACCTGATGAACCAAGACTCCTGGACTGCCCTCTTCAGGATGGGAGGGCAACAGCAGGCTGAATGTTGTCAATCAATATGATTCAAATGTTTGAGTCTGTGAAACATCACATTTTTAGAATAAAGGTTAAAAGTGTCTGAGGCTCATTTCTTACATACGTCCTCCTGACATTCAAACTTCAAACAAATCAAAGTGTCCTGTTCCAGAGTCCTGTCAGCAAACCAGCCTTCATCCTGCCCTCATTACAATCATCATCATCATCACCCTCATCATCATCATCACCCTCATCCTTTCCCTGCAGCTCAAATTAGTTTCAGGTCAAACTCATGTGCTGAGAGTCGGTGTGGGCCGAGAGCCAGATCCCTGCAGGGACGCTCATTTTTCCTCCGACACCTCGACTCAGCATCAGTCTGGCTGCACAGAGGAGAGAGAGAGGGCGAGCTACTCCACTCAACTACAAACACGTAGTAGAGAAGCAATGTGTTGTCTATTCACCTCACACACAAACAAGGACCCACACACGTGTATAAAATTCCAAACAAACACGCACATAACTCACGACACACCGGCGCTACAGCGGTAAATCCGTTCTTTGTTGTTTGTAGCACGTGTGATGTTTGTAGCAGCGTGCACCCAGTTTAATCCTCACAACAGGAAACAAGGACTTCACCTCTGGCACCGAAACACAGTAACTGTAACAGGGCGGAAAACAGGACGGACGGGACTCACACAAACCACATTCCTGTTTCAGAAGAATTTAGCAACAGGAAGCACCAAACGTTTGAGCGTAAGAGAATCACAGGATTGGATGTCACACCTGGTGGAATAGAAATTAAAGCTGATTCAGTGCTGCGACTTTACCCAAGTCTCCATTTATGTTTTCTATCTGTGCAATGACTACTTTTATTTTTATCTTATTTTATTTTACTAATGTGTAAACATGATTCTTAAATGTGCCGCAAATAAACTTAACTTATTGTCAATGTCTTTTATTTTCTTCTACAGATTTGTTTCGGACATTGTTCTTATCTTTTATCCATCATTGTCAAATCACTTTGGCTCAACTCCTGTTATTTCTGTCTTAACCAAAAACACCTTAAAAACTAAATACAAGGTAATGAGCAGAAAGTTATTGCCGCTGCAGCTCAGTTAAGGTCAATCAGTGCACAGGTTGAGTTTGTGCTCTTTAAACACACAATGACTGATAATCTGCTGCAGCTTCAGTTTCACACTGAGATTTCAGGTTTAAAGTCAAGGTGATGATCGTCCTCTGTTATCGACACGCTTCACTAACGCTGGTGTTCATTTCAACTCCCCACTGACCGACTGCTTTCAAGGCGACAGCACAAACGCCTCGTTTATCAGCAGCCGAGACGTGATATCAGCTGAGTGCAGTTCTAAATGGCCACAGGGTCGATGTTCACTACTAAGCTCGTCTAATTTAATGACAGTCACAGAGAAAAACTAGTCTGAGGCAAAGTAGGTCAAAGCCAAACACGAGGCTGCGACTTTCACAGACAAGACTCAATTAATTCCTACAGAGTGGGACCAGGATCTGTCCACTGTGGAAATAAAACTTCTTATTTTTAGCATCAGTGTCTTTAAACTGGAGCAGCTTCAGACCATAAGTACTCACAAATTCAAATTGTCTCCTTAAATTGAGTGTTAGGGAAACTTGATATGATGGAAAAACTGGTTTGAGAAGCAGCAGAAGTAACAAAACTAGTAAAAAAGTGAAACATCACAAAATGATCCTTTCAAACAAATAAAGAGTCATTAGAAATGAATTTGCACTGTTTGCAAACAGAGCTTTATCCAGCGAAGCAAGAGAAGCTGCTTTCACACAGGAACTCTGTGAAACAGCCACATGTTGTGTAGTCATGTTGTGTAGACATGTTGTGTAG